GGAGTAAGAAGCTGTTGGAGTAGAAGACATTTAACCGTTTCGACAGTGAAAGGGTGGGACCGAGATGCCAACCTAGTAGCATGCTTAAATTCAATGCAATTTGGGAACCAGTGAAATTGCCATCAAAATACTTGTAGAAAAGACAGAGGGAAGCCACAGCACGTCTGTGAGAGAGTGACTGTAGACGAGATACCAGATTAGGATCTATCACATTGCATATCTGTCTCTGGACCAGGCCATATATGACAGCAGTATTCGATGCAAGGACGAATGGTAGATTTGAATGATGGACTCAGGAGAGAAAACCTTTTGGCACGACACAGAGAACCAACTTTCCTTGCGGTAGATGAAGCTACTGATTCAATATAGTTGTTCCACCTCAGGTCAGTGGAAAGCGTGAGACCAAGCAGGATCAGGGAGGCGCTCTCGTGGAGTTGGGCATCAGCCATTCTGATGGAAGGCAATAGTTATATAGTTTGGACAGGACTGGAGCCAGTTCAGGAGCACATATCTTTAGGACTACCGCTGGTAATCCCATCCCTGCCACTAGCCTTATGGGAGCCTAATTTAGAGGCGATGTCCAATACTATCGATGGGGTTATGTTCATCTCACTCAAGAGAGCCTCAGTTCTAGGGGTAAAATCAGGAGTGGGTACTCCGGATGAGTCGAGCGTCAAATTGCATGAAAATTTCCAAGCAAAGTATTCAGCCTTATCAGCTGAGGAAGTCAGGACCTCAAATTGGTTGAATAGAGGAGGTATTTTCTGTTGTTCAGTACACTCTGAGCCGCCAATAATATTTAGAACAAAACTTGCGAGAATCAATACGTTGTTTCATTCTTTTAGCAAATAGTAGCTTTGCTTCATTGAGTACACACGCTTGCACTCATTACGGGCAGAGACAAAGAGACGATTATTTCAATTAGACATGTCGTTTTGGTACAGACAGAAGAAGTGATTCCTATAGACAATAGCAGCTGAGCAAGCAACTGAGGACCAGGGAGATGGAATAAGAACCCTAAATGACTAAAATATTGATGCATGACAATATTTAGACAAGTGCGCCTCATTGATCAATAAAATCATCATAATTGAACTATTGTTTTACTCTTTATCTACCGTTAATTGTAGGTACCCCCCAAAGATTCGCTAAAAAATGAGCATATATGATGAAAATATTCAAAACTTACGAAAAATAAAGTTTTATCGCCAAAATTTTTGTGACATTAAGAGGAAAGATCAAAGAAATTTTTATGTATTTTTTAAAATCCTTTTTCGTACATTGACCATACATTTGTATGGAAAATTTCAACGTATTATTGCGATGAAAAACATTAATTTGGAAATTCTTGCAAAAAATTAGATAATTGTCACATTTTAATGAAACTTTTAGGATTTATTCAGAAATGAATGAAATTATTTTTGAAACTTGTTTTTTAGAAAATCGTGTTTTTTTTATTTTTTTTTTACATCTGTTACCCCCTCCCCAACACATTTGATTTTATGAAATTTTGAGAAATTGTATTTTGTAGGGTTTAATGGTTATATTAGATAAGTCTTCGGAGAATTTAAATCATCAAATACTTTTTGCCAAACAGGACACCCGAATTACAGAAAATCTCTGAATCGTAAAATAAAACTAAGATATTAATTAGAAAATGCTTTTAATTGCTTTTATGAATAAAATATGCCATTTTTATCTTAGGAATTCTATTTTTCTTTATGAATAATGAAATTTTACAAGAATTGTTTTCATTTTTTAAAATTTTAATTAGAATAATTTATAAAGTTTTAAATCTTTTAAATTTCTGTATTAATTTGTACCGGTTAGTAGGTGGTAGTTATTAAGTAAAAACTATATTTACTAATCATAAATAGGAAAGCTTACTACAATCTAGCAATATTTTTAAATAATTTCTTGGGTGTATAAATGTGCTGTTTTTTGTAAATACAGACATCCATCCACGACATTATCAGAAAATAAGCCCGATAACTATAGTAAATTTAAAACCAAAGTACCTAAAACTCAATAAAACATTAGATTATGGAAAGTGTTTTCCTAAAGTTTTAAGATTACTCGGTAGTTACAAATGATATTAAAAAGGCGCTCATTAAAATGATATTAAAAAGGCGCTTGATTCATCAAAGTGACAAAGACTACAGTCACTACATAAAATGCGAAGTAGACTGCTTTCTTAAGACTTGGATAATGGCGATCACAGGTATTTGTAAAGGATAAAGTATGGTGGTTGATTATTCACAGGCAATTAACAAGTACATAGAAGTAGATGCCTTCGCAATATCCAAAACCAAAATAGATGAAATACTTAATAAAATCGCACAAAACAAGTGACTTTGAACCAGTAAAATTGTAGTAATGCCTCACAAAATACGAAGAAGCAAATTGTGTTTTTCTCATAATTTTTTCCCCATGTAACTTCTTGGAAGCAGATTTCAAAGAGAGATTTCCAAGTTCTATACTATTTACGAAATTTCCATTTTAAGCACATCAAATCTTCATCAAATTTGAATTTACACCGCTAAAATAAGATAACCGTTTATTTAATTTATTCATTTATTTTTTCTAATACATAGAGTATGAAACGAAAATATACAATTACGTATTAAAGGATTACTGAAGTGTATATACATAGAAAAATATACTAAAATTAGATTTGAAAAGTTGTGAGAAGACTCGGTTAAAAAAACTTTTTTATGCAATGTGTTTCTTGTATAAAGTATGTTTTCACAATGTTCAATTGTCTTCCTTTGTTTATGAAACCACGACTCAATGTGGGGAGTCATTAACTTTCCCACAATATTATAGAAATGGCTGGACATTGTACCAACTTTAATAATGCTTAAGAAAGTTCACGTTCAAAAGCAGAATTTGTCATGAACTCCTTAGTACAATATTTCATGCTTAATGACTGACTTCTTAGATTTTTTCCTTTTACAATAAAAAAAATTAAATATAAAACAATTCTTTCAATAACATTTATCATTTTTCTATTCCAAGTAAAAATTTAACAAACAGAAAAAACTTTTGAGTCCCGATAAAAATAAATTATATAAACAAAAATAATAATAAATAATAATAATTCATTTGCGCTTTCGTTTAAAACCCTTATCTCTTCCTTTCTCTTTTTCTGAACTTCTCTTTCTATACTTCTTTCTCAAGAAGGCAACTCTCAAATAAAAAGAGTAAGAAGAAAAGGCCGAACCCGGCCAAAAACACCGGAAGTTTGCAGGAGCAGAGCCTACTTATGACTGAAAAATACCAAAAATCAGAGGCTCCACGCATAATTTCCGTTATAAAAAAAAAAAAATGAAAAATGAAAGAATACCAGAAAATAAAATAATTTGACCAATTAAAAAATTCACACAAAGAGAGACCAATGTTCGTCCCAAATTCTCAAGCGTGGTCAAAAGAATATAAAGCTGACATCTCTCATCTAGAGACAGAAGGGACGAGGAGAGGACTGAACAAAAGAATGCTACCGCGTGACACGTGAAGAAGCAGTTAAGGTGTCCTTTTCTACTGATGTTTCCGTTTTTCTCAGGCCTGAGAAAGCACAGTAGATTGTCATTGACTTAATTTCTGAGATTACTACTATCCCTATCATAGTCTTACTTCAAATTACCGAAATAGACATTCTCAAGACTGCTACCAGTCCACCTTTTTTTTTTTGCGGCGCCGAATACCAAAGGACTCGCTCATCAAGATAAATAAAAATATATTATTTATAATAACCCTTGAGTCAGTTCGTTTTATTCCAAAGTTCCAGTAAAGAAAATACCTTGAATTTATGTTTGGGAGCTCCTTGAGGTACGTAGCTGTTATCCAATAACAACCCAACAATCTGAAGGCGATAAATTCGAAAGGTTTTGGGAAATATCAAAAACTGTGTACAATGCAAAATAATGAAGGAGGAGAAGGGAGAAAGCTAAGAGAACGTGTTCGGTTAAAATTAAAAGTAAAACGTAAAAAACTGCTTAAGAAATTTAATTGGTCTGATAGAAAAAAAAAGTTGGCATTTAATAAGCGGACGATAAATAGCCACCATCATGAAACATACTACCATCTTGCAGTAACCATTCTGTCTTAGAGTCAATAGTAATTTCTTCTTCCTTTCATTGACTTCCTTGTCTAAGAGTTAGTTGTTTTTGAGTCTGATATCAATACAATAGCATCTGCATTACGAATTAAATTACGAGAGAAATAATGTATTATATACCACCATTTTCAAAATCCGATTTGACTCCTGATAAATAATTAATGAATTGGTATTCATTAATAAATAGATTATAAAAGACCAAAATAGCTGAACAGAGTTAATCCTGTTGCACGACCCTGGTTTAACAGATTTGTATATATGTTATTATTCACAGTTTTAATTTCACAATAAATCTGATAATGTAAAACAAATCAGGAAGACGCAAAGTCATCCAAATCTATTCAGATATTTGTTGCTTATCAATAGGCGAATGTTTTTATATATAGTTAGCCTCTTTAATAGACATTTAAATGAATAAAAGTGAGTGAGTTAAATTTAAAAATATAATAATGTTATTTCCTTCAATAAGGAAATATTCCAATTTACCAGTTTTTGTCGAATTAAATATGTATTCAAAATTATATAGATAAAAACCCGTCTTTAAAAAAGACAAAGAAAAGCAAAAAATATATAGAATAATCATGGAAGTCTGGAAATATGAAAATACAAATTCAGGAAACAAAATCAAACTTCGTTCAAATGTAATTCAACTGTCCGTGACCTCTCAGTGAGTGTAAGATTATCATATATTTAGGCAACGAAGAACGAAGAAATTTTTTTAAAAAGCATTTATATTCTTTTTTTAAAAAGCATTTATACTCTTTAAAACTTTGTAAAAATTTAATTCTCCACCAATTCAATTAAAATACACAGCAAAATTTTGAGTGAATTCAACCCAATGAATTCATCCGAATGGAATAGATACAGAAAACCAGCGACTTACCTGATTTCTTTTGGTCTAGGTCTGTTTTATGTAAAAAAAGCAAGAGAAATGAATTAAAATATCGTAAAGAAATGCTTTGGTAAATAAAAACAAAAGACGAAAACAGCGCAGAAATATCAATAGCAGCATATTGGTTTTAAATCAGACTTTAAAATGGTATTGCATTTCCGATATGTTGCGAATAATGGCTATAAGTTTCTATTCAGAATTACCAAGAAAAATATATTTCCTTCTATATTGAAGAACTTGGCTCGGTTTATTCTGGAAAGAATGTTATGAGCTGTTATGGAAGATTATATTCCTCCAAAATCTCCGAATAGACCTTCTGAGTAGGGATTTACATCACCTAAATTCGAACAAATTTACAACCAATGTATTGAAAAATGCACTATATCCATTAATTTATTAAAGTACTCGCTACGGCCTATTTTACTTATTTTCTATCGATCGTTAATGAAATCTATTGAGAGAATTTTCATTGAGTAAAAGTCGCAAAATCATTTGCCGGGGCACCAAAAACTGTCTTTCAAATTTACAAATCCCCATTGAACCGCATTGATGTTGAATACATTTACGAGCACAGTAAAAAAAAAAGAAAAAGTAATTTATAATAAAACATTCTCTAAAGCCGTTGAATTAACTGGAAATCTTAATTATTTTATTCTAATTAATCAATTCAATTATTTATTATCATTATTTTATTATTTATTATTGATATTTCATTATATTACACTGGAGGAAAAAACAAAGCATTTCATCTACTACCCATACAATGTAAACGATGTACGAATCATATTTATATTCAAGTTAAATATTATATTAATAATATATTAATAGTATATTAGTACTTTATGTAGTAGATTTATGTTCAAGGTAAACAGCACGAGTAAATACTACATTTATAAGAAAAATTTAGTTGATGGGAAATAACCAAATAAATCTAAAATAATTTGTTTATGCTATGTACAATAAATAAATAAAGGTTCAAGTGACTTATTTGGTTCTACGACTCAAGAGTCTCGCATCGAAATGCTCATCTTGGCCAAATGTTTGATAAATCTATTGAACTTATTATCATATTTATACTCATTCTGGACGAACGAATACTAATTCTAACTTGTAAATTCTTAACACGCTAGCCGCTACAGTTTCATTAGAAACATCACAAGATTTAAATATAGAACCAGTTAATTTTTTTAATATTATAGATGTAGTTATCTTTTGAGCACATTTTGGCAGAAGTTCTGTTAGCCTGAAAAGTGGAGCCTGTAGGTCTTAGCGAATACCATCCTTCTTCAAACATCATGGACTCGCGTTACAGAATCACAGGAAAAAAACAGAAACCACAACACTTGAGGACTTTCAACAGCAACAACAATGAAAATAGAAAAGAGAATAATGACATAATGAAGATGCTTATGTTCAACAGTATCTCAAGTAAAAAAATGATTCCCCATCATCAATACAGGAGAGAGTAATAAGAGCTACTACACTTGAGAAACCTATTTTTCTGAAAAATGTTTTGAAAGATTTTATAAATTTCAGCCGACAGCCACACTGACTGCCCAGTCAGTGAATGCTGAATCATACTTATTATAAAACCCAGGTTGTGTTTGTGTGTGTGTGTGTGTGTGTGTGTGTGTGTGTTCGTTTATATATTGGATCGGATTTCCTACATTTTTCAACCGATTTCAACAAAACTTCACAGGACTACGTAAAATTACCTTGCGGTGGTTCTGACAGCACCAAAAATGGGAAAAACACAATTGTTTTTGCACGAAATCGATTTGAAAACACGATTAAGAGGCATCACTGGCGCCAGAATGGAAGGGGGACAACTCATATCGAGTTATACTTATTATAAAACCCAGGTTGTTTGTGTGTGTGTGTGTGTGTGTGTGTGTTCGTTTATATATTGGATCGGATTTCCTACATTTTTCAACCGATTTCAGCAAAACTTCACTTTTTTGGCAGGTATTGTTTCTTATTGTCTTGCACACTTTTTTCTTTATTTTTACATTCAGAATGCTTTAAAAATTCCATTTACAAGACAATTGTTTATAATAAAATTCTATTCAATCGGTAGACTCATAACGATTGAAAACAATGTTTTTGTTTGAGTTTGGGTTTGACCAATTCGTAAAAAAAAACAAAAAAAACTAATTAAGACATGTGTGTCCGTCAACTTTAAACAATAATCTTTGTCAATTTTATTTTTCAGTCTTTATGATGGTCGATACTTGATCTATCTCTTACTGTTACATCCCCGGGCAACGCCGGGCTCTACTGCTAGTATATTATAAATAAGGAACTGATCATCAACATTATTACATTGTCTTCCTCTTGCGCGGGTAAACATAGATTTACAGAAAATTCACTGGCGTAATATGTACTAAGTGTACAGAGAAGTGAAAATATTATTTGACTTTACTGAATATTATTCATCATTTCAGTGCATTATTAATATTGGTTTTCTTTTGATCTCTAGGTACAGAATGAGAATACCAAAAGAAAACACACTTTAAAAAGCCATATTTCTAGCTTACTGAACAACGTGGGTTTTTAATCTTACTTATGCTTATAGTATCATCAAATAAGGGAAATTTATTGTAGCAATATTTTTAGCATAACATCGACTGCATTCGCAAAGAGTTCAACGAAAAGTGAGAATAGTCATAAATGATTTATACTTACAAGGACATATCTTACACAACCAGGGGCACATAGCAGGAACATTGCTAAATGAGCAGGATTTTTCATCGAATACATTTTGACATAGGGCTTCATCTTTTGCCGTACAATTAACTGAAAGCGAAGCAAGTGCCATTAAAATTTTAAGCCCTACTACACAAATCTTGAAATCATTTCTATGATCGTTGCTGAGTGAATTTAAAAAGTACCGCTTTTTTTTATCATTTAACGATTCTGTTAAGCATTTTGTAATAAGCTACAAAGCTAAATTCTTATAAATTTTACAATAAATTTATTGAAAATAATTAATGTCAGGTTTCACATTTTTCATTGTACTAAGAGAACATAAATTCAAAATGAAACAGGTTCCGTAAATAATTCCGACACATTGTTTTCTTGTTAAGTTATGCTAAAAGAACTATACAATTTTACACGCAACATACAAAGTAAATAAATTAATAAAACAATGATTGCTTCCGAGGAAAGTTAGTTTTTTTTATTTTTATTGAGAGAGAAGAAGAGAGAGAGAGAGAGAGAGAGAGAAGAGAGAGAGAGAGAGAGAGAGAGAGAGAGAGAGAGAGAGAGAGAGAGAGAGAGATGAGGAGAGAGAGAGAAACCTGAAGAGAGAGAAATAGAGCAGAATAATCATTCATCAAAGTTTCAAAATTGTAATTCTTTTATTAATGTTATTTTGTAATCGAGTTTAATTTGGGTTTCGGAATTGGTGATCGGATATACTGGAAAAAATCCTCCAAAAAATGTTTTTGGAGGAATTTTTCTCAATTTCGTTGTTTAGAAAAACAAACACACGAAAAGTTTCATCAACTGTATATTGAAACAATGAATTCCTTACAAAGATTGAAAGCAAGTAAGATAGTCATTTGATTTATATTGAATTCTATGAGATATGAATTGATTTCGTGGTAATTTCGTAAAGGCGAATTCATAGAACAGATTTGAATGATTTTTTAAATGCGTTTGAGGTGAATAGGATTAATTATTAAAATTTGTCTGAAGTTAAAACAATTCCTTTTAAGTTGAAGTTTTCTGATCGTAAAAGCTGAAAGTGTCATTTATAAACGAATTTTAAAATGAAATAAAAGAGGTGTCTTCACACCAAGTGTGTAATCAGTGAAAAGTGGCAAAGACATAATTTACATTTGACTCATTTTAAACATTAAACGAGACATGTAACGTTAAAACACCAGTTCTCGTCCGATATCCGAAGTTAAGCAACATCGAGCTTGGTCAATATCTAGAAGGATAACCGCTTTGGAATACCAGGTTCTATAAGCTTGACTGTGTGGGTGGTGTAGTGGATAACAGCTCGAGATGAAAAATCGAAGAGCCGATTTCAAATTCCAGTCAGATTCATTACGTTCACTTACACAAGACACGATCGCCCAAGTGTGTCAGATCTACCTCTAGCAACACGCATTGGGCCAGCACGGCAAGGTAATGGCTCATCCCCCCCTGAATTTGGGGGAGGCCTGCGTCCAATAAAGGACCTACACAGGCTAAGAAGAAAACGAAACATGAAGCAAATGAGGCGCACACCAATTAAATATCTCTTAAGACATAAAAGATATTCATAGAATGACAATAGTGTACAGAAGAATCAGATTGTAAGTGTACAGCTAAGTAAGAAACATGTTACAAAATAGGAAAAAATAAAAATTCTAACGAATAAAATTCACAGTTAAATATCTGTCATTTTATGGTTAATAGGAATAAGGTAAGTAATGGCAATAACGTATTCGTTAAAAATAGAGACGCAAATAGATTGTATCATCCCAGACCAGTTGATCAGGCTTAGCGTAGCCTTTTGCTACTCCATTCACGTGACCAAGGGCAGACGTTATATATCTTCATGACCTTGACCTTTTCTTCATTTCGTTGCTGCACACTCTTCAATTTAACATAGCAAGTTAATTTAGATTCATAATAAACCTAATGACTATTATTTCCAGCTACAGACTCTTATCTTCCGGCATCTCTTGCCTTTATTTACTTCCGGCTACCTCGGATCCTTACTTCCGGCATTCCTAGCCTTTATTATTTCCGGCTACCACGGACCCTTATCTTCCGTAATTCCTGGCCTTCATTACTTCCATCCCTTATCTTGAACTAAATTACTTGTCTGATCTGCGCTAATGGACCTGCTTTCAACAGCCTCTACATCCAGCATCTCTATCTCAGACCCAAACAACCTACTCAATACACTTCGGTTAAAATACTACGGAAGGTTTACCGTTGGACTTAACCAGCAACTTTTCAACACTTTCACTGGAAATGTGAACTGAACTTTCAAACTGTGGCTTTACATGCCAACTTACATGGACTCTACTTTTAACATTTCGTCACAGATATAATTTCTAGGCCTTCTCGCCGCGGTCAGTATTTCTTAGTAAACCTTAATTCTGCTTCCATTACCTGATTCACTGTTTGTTCATATTCCTTTAAACGAATCAATACCATTGTATCTGATGTAAATAAATTTTTGTATTAATTTGAAATATCCTCATTCTGTTGTCCATTTTTGTTCAACCTGTCAGATTTCACGGCTTTGATTTATATACGTTAGCACCCAACCCCGTGTACAGGCCATATTATATCGCACTGCTCCAGGGGTCCACTACAAGCTCAATTATTACAATAATAAAAATAATAAAGATGTGAAAAGTAGATCATTGGAAAAACATAGGAAAAAAGGAAATATAAATCTCCTTTAAGAAAAGGCAAAAATAAATAAAAATTCGAAAAAAGACAAGAGGAAGATTGCTAAATATAGTAAGAAATAGAGAAAATTGCAGTTTAAGCGACGTTTTGTGTGACAACTTTCAAACAATCCTATTGATACAACTATTACTGCTATTATAATCAGTATAGTAATCATAATTATCATAACCACAATTTTTATGACATGGTTAAACTGGCTAATGTATAATATATATATATATATATATATATATATATATATATATAATAGGTTTTTATTTCTACTGAAAACAAACATATTACAATGAGTCGAGATTATGTATTTGATAGTCTTGATCAAATACATAATCTCTACTAGTGTAATTTGTTTTCTAAGGGAGAGCCCGTAGAAAATAAATTTTCTTCTTCACAAAAGAAGTACTATGACGAATTTATGGTTATTATATATGACTGAAGAAATAATAGTACCCTGACCTTGTTGTAATGATTAATAATAATTGTTAGAAAAAAAATGTTAGTAATAATAGTGATTTTGGTAAACATTGTCCTTTTCTCCTTTTCCTCCTTAACAACAAGAAAAAACAAAACAAAAAAGACAATGATGTTTCTTTGAAACAAAAACGGAATAGTTACCGCTGCAATCAGGTCCATAAATATGTTTGTATGGCTTGCAGTTACATTCACAATTATCTGACTTCATGGCACCATCATTCTTGCAGAATTTACCATTACAATCTGTAAGCAAAAATAACTTGTAAATAATTATCAAGATAAAATTAAAACTAAAAATAACAACAAACAGTTATTATTTCGGAAAGAGATAAACTGATTAATAAAATTTAAAGATAGTGGTTGGAATATTGAATTTAAGGTTAATAAAATGAGTATTTCTGCATGACATGCTGCTTCATGCAGCAAACGGATAATTTAATTGCTTGTGGTGTTGCTATATAAATAATTGGATGGGCCTAAGAAGGATTTCATTTAATTCTAAGTTGATCCTACAATCAGTTTAACAAATATAAGTAACCAAAAAATAATTTCTGGAATTTTGTATGGTACTAATTTACCAGAGATTTAAAGAAGAGTACGACTGCTACAACGTTTTGTATTCCAAACTTCATATTATCAAATGGTGCTTATGACAAAAACCAAATAATAATTGACGTTCCTACAAAAATGAAACATTTGTTGGTATGACACAATATATTTGGTTTAAAGAATATTACTATTGGAGATAGCATTGTAGACATAGACAGTTCGGACATAAGAATCATCACTGGATGCTTACTATCAGTTTTACACACTAAGTAATCTTCAGATCATTATATATATATATATATATATATATATATATATAAAGTGGACATTGAAGTCAACACCCAGAGGTGACAGTCTGCTTCATGCATGAACGCAAGCGTCAGGCCATATTTTATATTTACTTACGCTCTGTTCCTAATATTGAGTACTTTAACCCATAAATATAACATACCTTAAAACTATATTTTATCATATATATATACAGTGCTGTTCGATAAAAGTGACTCACCTGATTTCTTTTACTAAATGTTCTCTTCTCCGATGAAACGAAAGTTGAGCTAAATTCAAAGGATAAGCGATCCGAAGAAGAAACTTTGAAAATTCTTTGAATTTAGCAGTAACTACTGTCAAGCATCCGTTCAGTATAATGTTCTGGGGATGCTTTTCTTTTCATGGAACTGGTTTCTTAAAACCTATTGAAAAGACCCTCAGGAGCGAGCAGTACAAGAGAATTTTAGAGTCTTCTGCTGAAAGGGTGCAAATCGACCCCACCAAGCTCATTTTTATGCAGAATAATGCTCCCTGTCACAAATCAAAACAGATGAAGGAATACTTTGATGAGAAGCAGGTGAGTGTTATGACATGGCCGCCCCAATCTCCTGACCTCAACCCCATAGAAAACCTATGGAGCATTATGAAGTACAGGCTCTCGGGAAAGCAGCTGAGCAACAAAGAGGATTTGATTGTGAATTTCATATCCGAATAGAATTCAATGCTTGGAGATTAGATTTGCCAGAACCTAATCAAGTCAATGCCAAAAAGGGTTGAAAAGGTTATTCAAAATAAAGGAGAACCCATAGATTATTATATATTTCGAACTATATTACCTATTATAAATAAATTATACCTCTATTATTCTTTATTTAAAGCTGTTCGGTTATATTTCTGTTGATTACTAGTTGCAGGAAATAAGTGAGTCATTTTTTTTGCACAGAGTTTTTCCCTAAATCTCATTTATATCCAAAATTATAATTATCAATAGAATACCTTAGGGTGAGTAAACTTTTTTACTAGGTGGTCAGGGAGGGGTCTTTATATTAGTAATTAGTAAGATAAAAATTAATTTGACCCCAAAAATAATATGCGAAAAAATTTTTAAGTAAAAAATATCAGGTGAGTCAATTTTATCGACTATATATATATATATATATATATATATATATATATATATATATATATATATATATATATATATATATATACGCATGTATGTGTGCTCAATGACAAATGGCGTGAGATAAAACAAATGAAAAACACCCACGTTCTTAATTCAATTTTATTAATTATACAAGAATGAAGAAGACGTGGAGAAAATTCTGATATAAAATAAACTAAGTACCAGATGTACTGGAGGAAAAATTCCTATGAAACTCAGATAACTAAGAGGACTTAAAAGAAAAGAAATTTATCTTCTAAACATTTCTGAGAAATTGTATGTTACAAAATATTATTATGTAATTATTAAGAGTAATGATCAAAGTATTTTTGGTTATTAAATTATATTTTTTATCCATTTTAGAACGTTCGAAATTTTGTTTAAAAATCTTGCTTTTCTTGCGTCAGCAAATATTTGTTTGTTGTGGAAAAATGAAACAAAACATCAAAAAAACTCAATATATGTTTTTTTTTGTTCATTTGTTGTGACGTATATTCTACCTGCACATTTCTCCATACTGAAAAATATTGTAAAAATAGGTGATTTTATTTGTTTAGTTTCTTATATACATTTTTTATCATGAGACTAATAATGATATAAAAGCATTAACTTGTAAAAACTTTATTGAGTTTGAACAAACTTACGATGTCCTCACATCTAGAATGATTTAAATTTGGATGAGAATTTCCAAATTGTCTTAATTTGGAAAACACTTATTTTGATATGTTTTGCTGATATATTATTTTGATATGTTTCAGCGTCATCAGAAAAACGGATTTTATTTTGATCAAATCTACACTGGCGAAGAAATTATTAGATCTAATGAATAAACTAAACAAAATCAAACCTACAATTGAATTCACATATGAGAAGTCAAAAAAATGAAATAAAAAATAAAAATAACGCCGTCTGTTAATCTGTCTACCGCAAGTGAACAAATAAAACCAATTTCATACATTTTTGCTCACATCCCAGCAATAAAATAAAATCTGGCATAGTCATAGGTTTTTATTTAAGAATCTCTTAAAAAGAATCTGCACGTTCGAAAAATGTTTGTACTGTGGTGGTACTGAGCAAGCGAAGGACCGGATGTTAACCCTCAGAGGTCTAGATAGCAAATGACCAATACTGGTCTTTGCGCACCAGGCTCGACGCATAAGTTCCGGTGGAAAATCAAAAAGAAATAAAAAGAATATAATAAGCAATTTCCACCAATTAAACGGCCCCGCGCCATATCCAACAGTTTGTTTCAGCATACTGACTCAGATCCGATGGACACACATAAATAGAACGATGAATTCACTTCTGGTCAGAAAGCCTTGAAGTTACCGTCATAGAATGTCGCTACGCTTTTCTCACCCATCAACCCGACGCCTCCAGTTTTTTCCTTCACCAACGGAGATATCAAATGACACCTACCAACCCATTGACCTCACCTTTCATCTCCTGGGACCTGCACGCCCTAAACTTAAGTATTCACAAAATGACACTTTAATTCCTTTCATAATCTGATTTCTTTTCTTTGAATGAACATTTTAATAACGGACTTTGTGCGTGTTAATCAAGAAACATTATACTTATCATTGATGTGTATTTAAATATAAAGTGTTTCTGATATACCCTTCTCTTTCATATTTTGTTTGTTTATGTTATGGTGACCTCAATTTGATTGCTTGTTGAACCTTTAGGCCAAACTAGCAGCTGTCCATAAGTGACTGCTACTGCTACCTACCTTCTTATACAAGCAACAATTACCAACGAATATACACTTCCCACTACACCACAAGTGTTGACCGCCGACGATGATTTTAACATATATATACACACACGCACAAAAAAAAAAAATTGAACTGTCACAAAATTAGAATTTTTATTCAACACAAACCAAAAACATGGCAGCTGATGCTGAAGAAACTACAATTAATCAAAACCAACCAATCCAAACTGTTGCGATAAAACCACCAAACTTCATTGAATCAAACGTAATAGCTTGGTTTGCGATAATGGAGGCGCAATTTAATATTGCAAATATAAGACAGACCAGTCAAAAATTTTTAACACTTTGGCAGCTCTCCCCTGTGGACATAGTAGGAAATATACAGCCAACTATACTGCAATCAAAAAGATTATGACGCACTAAAAGAAGCAGTGACGGGCGCTTACGAGAAAACAAAACCAGAGATGCTGGACAAATTAATGTCGTCATCGACTGTAACAGGTCGTCCCCTCAGTATACCTGAATGAACTTATGTCATTAGCAAGCCGAATTGGCGTAAGGGGACGATATCGTACGTCACAAATTTATTCAAGCCCTACCTCACTCCATTAAACCAGTGGTAGCTGCACAAGTCGATTTAGACACAGATCGTCTTGGAAAAATGGCGGACGACTTATTATTATATTTTTAACAAACAAGACACCGCACATATTCGACAGATTTCGGGGAAGCGAAAGGATGAACAGCAAAATAAAAAATGAAACTAAAAGGATACATGGCTGTTCCCACAGTGAAAATAAATTCCTACCAGTGTTCGCCCTTTTAACAAGGACCAAAATCCTCAAATTTGCCGAGCGCATTTATACTTTGCGGAACGTGCAAAATTTTGTAAGCCGTGGTGCAGATGGCCAAATAAACGGAATGTTCAAATGCAACCCAACTCTCGCCCAATTCACCAGTTCCTCGTGAGACTTCGGAAAACTAACTAGGCGAGAGGTGTTAGCTTCCATTTCCTCGCCGCTTCTCATTGTAGCCGCACGGTTAGGAGCTCAAAGTTTAAATTTTATTGTGGATACAGGAGCTGCCGTATCTATACTTCCGAAGAGATATTTAAGCGGAGCTGTAACATACCCAACCAATATCTCTTTAGTGTCTGCCAACGGTCAAAAGATTGAATGCTCAGGACAAACAGTACTGAATCTAACACTACGGAACCTCAGACGAGAATTTACCTGGACATTTATAATAGCCGAAACTGCTCAGCCACTCCTAGGATACGATTTCCTAAACCATTTCGGGCTAATGGTGGACTGCACAAACAATAAGCTAATTGATAAAATGACTAATAGACAATCCGATGCACATCCATCGTCTATTATCATGAATATAGATTTAGTACCGAATAAAGATGCTAACAAAATGGTACGAGCAATTCTGGAGAAATACCCAAACTTAATTTCTCCTCATCGCGACACGAATGCAACAAAACCAAAGATATTCCACAGAATAGAAACTGGTAGCAACCTCCTACTTTCTCCAGAG